TCCCATTGGCTTCAAATGGCATTTGCCACAAAGTAGTGGCATTCTCGCCATCTGTATCATGTCACACAGAAAATCAGTTCCGTCCAATGAACATTTGGAAAAACCTTCTGGATATTAAATCTTATTATCAGTTTGCGTGCTAACTTGCTTTTAGGGCGATTGTCTTTTCCTCTGTCATTATAGACTGTTTTAAGATTTCCTTTGCCTCTGTAAAGTGCTGAGAAAGGTATGGTTACGCGAAGTTCCTTGTAGCCTTTGCAAGCTCGTTGCCTTTTTATTTCCAGGAATACCACAGTCAGCTCGTTTCCACCACAAGACTAGTTATGTTGTTGATTACAGTACTCTTATGCATCCGGTCCCACCCACTCATACTGATTATGTTTAAAAAAAACAACGAGGTGACTCCGGGAATAAATTTCTTGTTTGTAGCTGATATTGCAGGGGGAGGGGGGGGGGGGGGGATATATATATGTTTTCATGGACTTTTGATTTCATGTCTACCGTCTGATGTTGCCTGCAACACTAGTTCTGTTGTTGATTACAGTATTCTACTTGTCAACGACCTTATTTATTGTATAATCTCTCGCTGTAGGCAGCTAACAGATAAATCTGCTTTAACACACGCCAAGCCGAACACCCGTGGAGCACACATACAATCGTTAATGTACAAAGAGCATTGTACTTATGGCAGTAAGCCTTAAGAATTGCAGGTACCCCTTATCCGAAACGCAGGCCATGCCAGCTTTACAGTCACTGATCACGTCTGCCCGTACACATGAATAAGCACCGGGCTCAAACCCACACAATTCTCGTACAGCGTGTCCAAAACCGCTGTCCCCGACACGAGGATTCTGAGGGGTACACAGAAAGGCGATAACCATGTCGTAAAGACGCACAGATGCTCTTCCGATCTTTCCGAGAGCAGCGCTTTTGTTACCCTACAGTCTGCAGTGTTCATCACTCTCACTTAACGTACAGCTAAGTCGTCACGGCTTTTCCCATAGTCAGTCTGTCTGGTCACGGCAGGGCTCCATGAATAAATACACGAGGTCGTGACCTGGTCTCACCTTGAGGTCATGTCTGGATCATCTCGTACAAACACGACCTGTTTCAGGTCGACCGTCTAAAATGTGAAGTAAAGGTGACTGACGCGATGTTCACCACAATACCGATTGAGAGATATGACGCTAAAATATTATAGTAACGTATACGCAACATAGGGTGATACGCCTTATTTGACGACAAGGGTCATTACTTTCACACAAAAAAAAAAAAAAACTAACATTCTATTTTAACACATCGCATTTCTATTCTACAATTCTTACTCTGTATTCATTGGGAAGTAACAAAACGGCCACCCCTAACAGTTTTCCAATTGCTTGAGGGCAACACAGCCCGACATATTATAATTGTTACGGAATCACAGAGCCTGTTTCTGAAATTTGAAACTGGTGTCCTGCACGCCGAGTTGCTTGCACCACTCAATAAGACTCAGATCTGGAACATTTGGATTTTCTGTCCAGAAAATTCAGGTGTGCGAGGTAATGAGCAGGCGGATAGATTAGCTGATGTCGTTCCTCTAAGCGGTGAGCTATTTTTTAATAAAGGCTTCCTTTGATTAAATGGGTAGTACAAAAGAAGACAGAATCCATACGCTTAAAGACTAATTCAACAGGAAGAAAAAAAGGGGGGGGGGTGGTGGTGAGTAGATGTTCCGGAAGATGTTAACACTAAGGGGGAGGGCGGACATGGGTGGACTTTTAATCACGTTGCAACTGGTACTATAATCAAGTCGACTCTTCGTTAGCTGCTGAAGAAAGGGACGGAGCACAGGTAGAAATGTTCCCTGTACAGTGATGTCAATTCTTGATTGATTCATACATTCGTTAATTTCTTTTCGCATAGTGAATTGAGAAGGCGGCAGTGGTGTCCTGCTAATAATTTATTATAATTTGCAGATGACTAAGTTATTTGTTATGTTATTATTAAAAATATTTATAAGGTAGAGTTATTTGTTAACAGCAGAGCATTATTCACAAGAAGTATATTGTTTTGCTCTTACAAAAAGTTATTATAGAATGCATATTTAGGAACATGACTGGACCCAAAACGTAGAAGTAATTTTCAACAATAAACTGCTGTGACTACCTGCAACCTTACAACACGACATTAACGTGCTTTGCCATTGAAGAGTGGAGTGTATCTGAACAGTTGTCCTGTTTGGTACATGCTATCGAATTTAAGTCTAATTTTCGGGCTGTGCTATGTGTTCCTGAAGTTGTTACCATCACTAAATTCATTGGATAATTGACAGTTACTCTTAGGGTAATGTATGTTAATATATACATAATTTTATCATCGAAATTTTAATTAATTAAAAAAAAAATTAATATTATTAATTGAAATTGTCAAGTTATCATTATATTACTATTTATACAGTTCTCAGTTATAATAATATTATATATTATATTATATTATATTATATTAATATTAATCATAAAAATTAGTTAATAATTAGTAATTCTACTGGTCTGTCTTACTAATCTGTTAATCAAATATGGGTTAAACGAATAAGAAATATAATATTGGATCATTTATTGCAGATAAGATAAACAAGTTGAAGGAAGAAGAAGAAACCAGAAGTATTTATTTGATTTCGCCATGCGAAAGTACTTGTGATGTTGTGGTGGATGTCAGTAACAAAAATGAGTACTGGTTTCGAACATGACTAACTATATGGTGGATAAGTGGCTAAGAGGTTCAGTTCAGTATTAATCTCCGGTCCAGAGTTTTTTCCCAGCATAAAACTGGGAATTTACAGTGACCGTTAAGTTTAAAATTCGGCTATCCTCCGAAAAACGGTCCCAAATTATCGAGGCCGAAAACATACCCTAACAGGGCCTCAGTCTCATGTAAATTGCGGACCTCTTCCGGCGACCACACAGCATATAGCGGAAAAGCTTTTGCCGAGTTAAAGTCACCGCCGAGAGTATCTCCCGCGACGGGAGATAAACTAGATGGCTGGGACTCACGAGCAGCAGCTACTGCATCTCATGCAGCTTCCTTCATTTTATTTGCTCATGAGTCTCAGCGGCGCGAGAGATACTCTGGGCTGTATGCTGTGTAGTCTCTGGAAGAGGTCCGCAATATACATGTGACTGAGGCCCTGTCAGGGTATATTTTTAGCCTCGATAATTTGGGACCATTATTCGGAGGATGCAACCGGATCAGATTGCCTATAAGGCCTTTTACAGTAGAACATCGGGAAGAAAGGCCAGAGGAAGACCCAGGAAAAAATGGATAGATGGAGTAGCTGAATACGGCCAGAAGATCCAGAAAACTGTCACTCAAATAACGCGAGAGGCACAAAACAAATATTTTAAACCACGACACTGGGCTGCAACCCGGTAAAAGTGAAGAAGACAATAGATAGATAGATAGATTCGGAGGATAACCTCAAATTCAATCACTACACTGTTCTCCTATCTCCTTGGTAATAACCATGCCTAGATTTTTAGCTGGCTAATGAGCATCCGACTGTTGATTCCCCATTTTAGAGGGAAGAACATTAGACCCACTGTTATCTAAGAGGTTTATCATAAAAGGTGAGTAATTAGGGCATAGCTGAAATCAGGTGTCAGGCTTAAAGGCGTAGATAGCCAGCCTTACTGTAAAGCATATCACACTACACGCTGGCAGAAGAAGAGGTAAAGAGGCACAAAAATGAGGTCCAGTATGTTAGTTGAATGCCTTAAAATGACTCAGCAGTTGGAAATCACACATACACTCACAAAAGGCAGAAAAATTGCCACTCTTCTCAGAATTGTTAGATGTAAATGTATTAATATGGAATTTAAGACGTCAGACATGATATATCAGAGAAAGGTGACAAAAAGGGACAAAATTCGCAATCAGACGGTATGTCAAGATCTTGAAACACAAGCCTTACAAACCCGAGTAGATCGGTCACAGTTACGATGGTTTGGACATGTATGCAGAATGGGAGAAAATCGGCCACCATGACAGGCATGGGAGGCTAAGAACCAGGAAACCAGATCCCCAGGGTCCACTGGGAAAACAACATCCAACAGTCCCTGAGAGATAGGGGACTGGAATGGAACAAACCCAGAAAGAAAAATACTGATAGAGAAGTCTGAAGATCTCTCTGGCAAACCTCTGCAACCCAAGGTAGAAGAGGAGTTACTGAGCATTCATATGAATTAATAGAGCTGGTAACCTTCAGTTTAATCCATCTTTGGAACATTATACATATTTGGAGAATCTCTGTGGTGAAGCTGTTAAGCCTTGTACTCTGAAGGTTGTGAATTCAGTTTCAGACTGGGTCTTCATTTGCAAGGGCAGGTACTTTGGAGGTGTCTGGGAGTTGTTGGAGTTGTAAAGTTTTATACTCTTAGCAAACAAACAAGACAGTCCGTAGAATGAGCAAACTTAAATTTCTTAAGGTTAAGGATTGGGCACGTAAGTCTATCTTGCATTCTGCCCTTTAAAATGACTTTAACATGTGATGTTTCTAAGTACTAAACACATTGACGCTAGTAACTACTTGACTTCAGTGATTGGACTGAGCCATATGAGAAACAACCTTGTGCAGTGAAGTCGATCCTCTTATCTTTAAATACCTTTCAAACTATACACAGATGTATGTCAGAAGCGCTGACTTTTGAGATAAAGTACGTAACTCTCACTCCATGAAAAAGTACAAATTAAAGCGTTACTAATAAACAAACAGCCTGTTCTTTCAAAACCCATCATTTTATCATACTAATTATTAGTTTAAATAGAGATGCAGTAACACTCGGCAAAAGATCTGTGAGCTCTTGATAATTTTTAAATATCTCTCATGAACTCTTATGGATACAATTTTTTATTTCTGATCAAAGATGTGGAAGGACAGTATAATCAGTGTTTGTTTTTACAGGCGCACACAATGCTCATTTTAATGGTATGTAACTTTCTTTTCCACAGAAATGAGTTTTTCAATGTTGAAGTATGTTGACGATCGAGGTCTGGGGAAATCAAGTTATTATGGATTGAATGACAGTCTGTATTCATCCCTGTATTCCAAGATGACGCCTATTCAAGTAACAGATGCCACACCATGTGATGGGTTAGACTGGGGGGCTGTATTTGGTTTTGGATTTTCTCCAGATGGGTAAGTTAAGATATAGTTAGATGACAGTGTAATACATTAACCCAAACAAGATGACCTAGAAATTATACATGCATTAAAAAATTTATCATGAAACAACGGTGACCTTTCACTTATATGTGGTAAGGAGACTTTTGACCTGACAGTCATATTGTATAATAAAGTTTTATAAACATTCTTTTAATTATCCTCCTTCTGTTCCTCTTCTGCTTACTCCTCGTTTTCTTGTTCAGTAATAATAATACAAGCATTTAAAGTAACAGCTAGGACAGAATCATTACCATCATCATGTAGAAGGTCCTTTGCAGAACGTCGCTCTCATCACAGCCTGCATGAAAGAAACTCAGTCTCTTGCCAGATCTCCCATCTCATGCATTTTCCTACCCAAGGTGTTACTTATATCCTGTACCCATTTTCGTGCTGGTCGGCTCCTGACCCTCTGTCCTGTCACCATGCCTTCTGCTACTTTTTTTTTTTTTTTTTGGATCCACTTTGGCAGAATAGATAAAAGTGATATTTGTCTGACACTGTCAAAGTAGGGGAGCCGAAGTGGCTCTTTTCTCCCAGTCGAATCAGCCTAAAATGGATACCAAGTAAAGTCCTGGGAAGTCAAGGTGACCAGCGTGATGTTGACTACTCCACCCATCAAGTGCTGATTGGTATATAAAATTATAAGTCTAGCATCATGTGCCCAAAGCACCACTGGCTTGAAAAGGGTCCTTTACTTGGCTGTTGAAATAGAACATCATGTGCCCAAAGCACCACTGGCTTGAAAAGGGTCCTTTACTTGGCTGTTGAAATAGAAAACAACTATTATTATTGTTACATAAGGAGTAATATATGAACGTAAGTTATATGTTTTGGTTCAGAACGAGTTTCATTTTGCGGTATGCGGGGCAAGAAGAATGAACAGATAACAAACTATGTTATACTGTTTTAAATCTGAGTTTAGTTTTGCAGACTTGCACTGTATGGGGAATGGAAAGTGAGAAGCAAAAATGAAATTCATAATCTGTTTAAATCATCATTGATCACTGGCTTCATGAGAGCTAATAGACTGAAATGGCTGGGGCATATTGCTAGAATGTCAGACGACAGAGAGGTAAAAACTGTGTACACAAGGTAGCTGAATGGTAGTAGACCATGAGGTAGACCAAGAAGACGATGGAGAGATCATGTTCTGACAGACCTGCGAATACTAGGTGTCACCAATTGGAAAGAAAAGACCAAATAGAGAGATGAGTGGAGGTGGGCAATATCTACAGCAATGAACCTCAAGGGCTCGAAATGCTGAAGAAGAGGCTTGAATGTAAATAGGGCTGAAAAATGTAAATTTGATTTATGACCTGTCGGTCAAAACAGAACATTGTCTTTTTAAGTCGAGGAGACCTGTAAAAGTTTGGCTGTAGGCAGAACAGGAAAAGTGAAAATGTTACAAATAATGTGATTTTTTCAACTGATGTGATTGCTAACTTTTAGGTCTATGCTGGCAGCAGCATGTGAGAACAGATGCATGCTTCTCTATGATCCAAAGAATGCACGTCTCATACAGAGAAGGTTTAAAACACACACTGATTGTGTTAACGGTGTTAGGTAAGATCATTTAACCAAACCACCTAAACTTATTGAAATATATTGTATTGCCTTTTATCATCATCATTATCATCCAGTACCTTGGTGATTTGCTAGGATAATAATGCCAAAAACAGCTCATGTTCCCTAGTGAGTATGCATTCCTGGCAGATTCTAGAACAAAAGTTATTGACCAAGTTAAGCATCAGTTGGTCTAAACAAATCAAGGACTAGCAAAATTTACCCAGTCTGCCTCAGGGGGTGATAAAGGAACCGGCACAAGCAAAGATACTCTTGTATGTGTATGCATTTCTGCGTGTTTGTCTGTGTGGGTGTCAGTATGTGTTTGTCTGCCTGTTTGTATTTGTGTGTGTGTGTGTGTGTTTGACTGCATGTGTGTCTATGTGGCTGTATGTATGTGTCTGCGTATGTGTGTGTGTGTCAGTGTGTAAGCACGAATGTAAATATGTGTGCTGTGTGTTTTCCTTTGTGTGTGTTTATATGTAAGTGTATGTGTGTGTGTCTGTATTTTTGTCTAAGTGAGTGTGTGTGTCTCTCTGGGAGTGTCCATGTGTGCATATGTGTGTCTCCATGCATGACTGTATTTATGACTGTATGTGTGTATGCCTGTATTACGTATGTATGTATGAATGTATGTATGTTTGTATCTATGTACGTATGTTTGTGTGTATGTATGTATGCCTGTGTGTATGTGTGTATGCATTTTTGTATGTATGTGTGTATGTATGCCTGTATGTATGTAATGTATGCATGCATGTGTGTGTGTGTGTGTAAGTGGGTGGGTGAGCGTGTGTATGTGGGTGTATGTATGCACACGCGAGTTTTTGCATGCACTTTACAACTCATGCTTTTGTGTTCTTTTATAATATTCATAATATGCTTATCATTATATGATCATAACATGCTTTTTAGTAAAATACAACTGCTGTGCGAAAGATGGTTGACTAGAAGGGCCGAATGTAAGACGGGCCTGCGTGCCCAATTTGTGACCCTTTGAAAATAAAGTTTGTTCGTTCGTTCGTTCTGTTTCTCTTCAATATTTATCAGTGAATCGTTTTTATTACACCTTTACCAAATCAGATATGAGTTTTCTTGGGTGGGGAAAGAGAGGGCATAGAATGGTCATCTATAAAATAAACTAATATGATTGTAGTTGATAAAAGGAACCTTACTCCCTCGACCCCCTCCCTCCCCCACAAGGGACACTGATGGACATTCTATGTGGTTTTCGTTGGCCCAGGAATAGAGCCACTATAGGCTGACACATTTACTATGAAGTTGAACTCTGATTTCCCCGTGTGGGTTTCGGTGCCCTCTTGTGGTGCTGTTGCATTGACCACAAGTAGTGTGACTATGGAATGGAGGTCCATACCAAAGCAATAACATGGCTGGAGACAGAACTTTTCCTGCACATGCTTTCTCAATGACTCAGTGAATATGTTCATAAAAATAGAGAAGGGCTGGATCTGAAGACAGTGGCTGGAGTCTCTAAAGCAATCCCGGCTGACACATATCAGTTTCATATTTGTGCCAGGGCACACAGGTGTGCAAGGAAATGAGCAAGCAGATCAGCTTGCAGGTAAAGTTACTGTGAAGGGCTGATGAGCCATGGACCATGCTGATATTCTGAATGCTCTATGACAAGTAAGACGTTTGCGAAAATCAGCAACAATGACCAGACTGCAAGAACATGTTAACAGGGGTGTGGCCAAAGAAGAGCACTAGGCAGGAAGCCAATGAAGAATAAGACATCAACACAGAACTGGTGTCGTGGGCTGCAGGATTTAATAAGGAGTGGATCCGAACACTTATGGACTGAATAGTTCGATGTGCAGTGAGGATAATCTGTTAACTAACCAACTAATTATTTAGAGTGTGACATGTCATTATTTTCATTTCATTGCAGATTTCTTGACAATCGGATGTTTGCTACATGTTCAGATGATAATACTGTTCGCCTGTGGGATGCCAGGTTTCTGTCCTCAGAGATTCGTATTATGAGAGGTCACACTAGCTGGGTTAAAAACATTGTCTCTGCTCAAGAATTCTAGAGTAACTTTTACCGGGAACGCTGAGGAGGGATATGCCTCTGTGGTTTTCACATTGTCTGTTATCACCTTTTTTAAATATAGGTATAATGATGGCAATCTCCCAATCTTTTGGTATAGTTTTGCTACACCAGGCTGCCTTCAGAACCTTCAGTAGAAGGCGCTCACCTTCGACTCCCATATATTTGACCATCTCTGGTGTTATACCATCATGACCTGTTGCTTTTCCCAGCTTAATCTTCTCAATAGCTGCCTTTAATTCTTCCATCCTGATGTTATCTTCCCCATGATTGAATTCCTTCTCAGCAGTGAGGTCCATTATTTCTGGGTCATGGCTTCCCTCAACGCCGAGGAGCTCTGAGAAGTATTCTTTCCATCTGCCCATGATATCATTTGTAGAAGTAAGCAGAGCCCCTTCCTTGTCTTTTATGAATTTAAGTGGGCACTCTTTCTCCTTCCTGTAACAGTGTCTCACTGTGTTTTAATTGTCACAGTGTCTCACTGTGTTTCAATTGTCACAGTGTCTCACTGTGTTTCAATTGTCACAGTGTCTCACTGTGTTTCAATTGTCACAGTGTCTCACTGTGTTTCAATTGTCACAGTGTCTCACTGTGTTTCAATTGTCACAGTGTCTCACTGTGTTTGAATTATCACAGTATTTAGGTGTCAAGGTTATTTCACTATATTTTTATCAGGATATGTGGGTCATGTTTGGAGAACATGAGTGAAAAAAAAGCAGCTGAAAAGTTGATTTAACATCTTAATAATGCACATACAAATACAGAGACCCGGGTTCAATTCTTGATACAGTGATATAGGGGGCATAATTAAACATTTTAACTTTTACAGTCTGTGGTGACAGCTCTAGCCATGCGGCCCTAAATCCTCAGGCTCATGGCCCCCTGTCTAGACTGCCCCCATGGTGAAAGTGGTTTGTGTGTGTGTGACATAAGAACTATCCTGTGACTATTGTACTTGCATGCTGAATCAGAGATCCCATGTGCATATCCGTTCAAATCAGTGCATTTGTTTGATAGCGTAGCTCCAGGGCTAATCCAGACTCATTTCTACACTTGAATTCATAATCATTTATTTGGTGTACCAGTTTTTATTTTTTTCTGGGAGGTAAGGGCGCTGTTCATCTGTGCATTTCTGGGGCTATGATCATTGTCGTCATCTTTGCCCTGTTGTGTCATTGTATATCATATAGGGCACATAGTCTTTTCCTCCAGTACATTCTGTCCTGTCCAGTTAATTCATTATGATAGGTGGAATCCAGTCCAGCACCTTTGGCCTCTCATGAACGTTCATTTGAGGGTTACTTTTGGGCGTCCTCGCCTCCTCAATCCCTTTATTTCCAATTTTAGTGCCTGTTCATAAAATGTGACTAATTTAAGATTCTGCTGAAATTGGATAAGCTGGGCCGAAAGACATAAAAATTACAGCCTAGCTGTAAACCACAACTAATTTGCTTTTTTACGATCAAACATAAAGAAGAAGAAATGCCTGGACTTTTTTTTTCCAGCAAAACAGTTGATTTGATGTCATTTTTCTTTTTTGTGTGACCACTTTAACAGTATAGTTTAATTGTCCTATTGAATTGTTGCAAATGTTTAAATTTCTTGTGTGCTTCATTAACAGTTATTCTGACACTGAGAAGACAGAGCCGCTGTTTTACATCAATGGTATGATGAGGACAAAGTTAACTCCAAGTGAAGATAAAATGATTGTGTCCACTCTGGCAGGGTACTTTCTGCTTATTCATGACCTCGACCTTCACAATCTGAAAGCTGATATGGCCGGGTAAGCTTTAGTTTGAATGAAACGTTATGTCGTACAAGTTGTACAGGGTGTCTCATAAGTTTCTATACATAGGACAAATTAAATAAATCACAGATGCCACTTGAGAGCAAAACTCCAGCTGTGCTCATACGTTTTTCTTCACCGGTTGAGGACAAACCTTCACTGGACTTGTTAGATGTGATGATGATGACGATAATTCTGCATCAAAAGCGGCAATATCTTCATCACGTGCAGCTCCAGTATGCCGGATTTGATCCTGGCTGTGGCTGATTTGTCTTGCTTTGATTTCAACAGTGGTACCAAGAGCTGATCTTTCAGAAATCCATGGCAAACTACTAAATGTAAAATTTGCCTAGGAAAAAAAACCAACGGCAAATAATGCTGGGGTTCGTTCTGCATTGTCCTGTAAAGGATAAGAAACTAACTCATAGACCAACCAGCATAGTTTCTTGTAGTTAGCCTGTCTCTTTTAAAGCCAACCTTTCTTATCTTCTCGTCACAATAGTAAAGAACAGTGTGCATCATTCCTATAGTTTATTATTATGAAGCACTTTTAGCTATCTTGCATTCCACTTTGTAGCTAGATGCATGCCTGCAGGTCCAAAGAATGTAGGTTCAAATCTGAATGGAGCCAGACTAAAAAAAAAATGACCGTGGCTCCCAGGTCAACTCAACCTTAAATGTGTATCAGGTAAAGTCATGGGAAGTAAAGGCGGCTGGCGTGATGGTGACCTCATCAATCAACGAGTGTATTTGGTCTCTGTAAAATAAAGGCCTAACACTACATGTCCAGTATGCCTGAATGTGTAGAAAAAAGTCCTTAATTTACTGACTTAGCTGTTGTATTGTCAGCATTTGTGGCTTATGGGTAATGAACAAGGTTTGTAGTTCTGAAATACCAAGTTTGACCCGACTGCAGTGATCTGGCAACAGACTGTTTTGAATTGACTTGAACAATGGTAGAGGTAGCAGATCATTCAGTGGCAAACAACTGAATGTAAAATTGACTAGTGAAATCACAAACAGTCCCCCCAAAATGGGGTTGGTTTGCAGCATCCTGTAAAGCAGTGTTCTTCCACCCATGGGCCACTCAAGAGTCCTGGTGGGCCACCAGAAATGATCTGGCTTATGATGTCACGGGGTAGGATAGGTAGCGTTTCTCTTCCATGACTACAGTCTGTAGGATTAGTTAGCTAAGCTAGTTTTTCCTCTTGGGCCTAGGGCGGCATATAGGGCAGAGGTCATTGCTCTCCATATCTGGCGGTTTGTTGCCACCTACTTAAGGTCTTGGATGTTTGTTAGGCCCATGGTTAAGCATTCCCTGATGATGGTTCTACAGAGTCTCTCTTGGTCTTCTTCTGTTTTTTTTCCTTCCGGTGTCCATATGAAGGCTTGATGGGGAAGTCTTGTCTTATCCATTCTGAGTGCATGGCTGATGTAGTTCCACCAGCACTTTAAAAAAAATAAAACTGGATACAATGTTTTGCTTGGTCTCTTGTCTTAAATGTATATTGGATCTGAAACCTGTCCAGTGGTTTTGTGTCTGTAGGATTAACACCTTATAATTCAACTTATGTCAGATTATAATGGGTCTCTCACCGCTATAAGTTCCAGAGTCCCATTGTGGGGGCAAGAAAGAATAGACCCCCTGCCTTCCTAACAAGTGTGTCATAAAAATTGACAAATTAAAGTTGTCCCTTCGAAGACGGAGTGCACCTGCCTGAGATGTGAGGAGCCAACAGCATACAAATAAGCCAGATCTGTAAATCGGATGTGCACATAAAACTCAGTTTCTGAAACAAACAAAACCAAAGTCCAGCAGTGGACGAACAACTTTAACTTTCCACTTAAGTTTATTTTTCAGCCGTTGAATGCTAAGAAAAATAGATTTTTAGCAGCCATGTTGTGTCAAAGTAATGGATCCTTGTGTAGGACCCTTAAAAAAAAAATATCAGTCAACTCTTGATGGATAATATCGTCACCATCACGCAGGTTTGCTCAATGTTTGTCTGGTATCAGTGTCTTTTCTTCATCTTCTGATAAACTGGAATTTATCCATTTGTCAATTAATGAATGTTTGTAGTGTGTTAGTAAATTGTTCTTCATCCTTAATGATGGTAGATAGGCAAAGAATGTCTGAAAAGCATGTTACTTACATGCTGTGGCAGATATGATCTTTAAATCCATGTGGCACCAGCACCGCAGCTTCGGCGACGATCCCCAGAGGTTTCCATAAAAAGTGCGCTCGAGACCCAAGAGACAGCCGTGACACAAACCCGTGACTTTCAGAGCACGAGGCAGATGGCTTGAGCACTTCACCATGAAGACCCTAGTTAGCACTTTATAATAGATGCCCATTGTGCGTACAAGGATGTTATTACACAGGTTCCAGACAATAGATACGTTAATATTATATGTAGCGATTATAATTATCTTTGTATCCATTATGGGCAGGTTCACCCACAAGGTTGGTGCATTGTCTCCAGAAATTCATCTCTGGATGAGGAGTCAGAGGTTAGTGTACAGTTATTTATCCCTGGCCATAAATAAGTTTTTAAGAATACTAAAATCAGTTTGAAGGCAATAATAACGAAAATAATTTGTAGATAGTAGCAATTAAAGGTAGGTACTTGTAGTTGAAGGGCTGCAAACAGCTTGTTGTTCTGAAATACTTGGTTCAGTTCAGCTGCAGGCAATTTGGCAGCAGCCCACTTTGTGTTGATTTTGACAATGGTGTGGAGCGTGACTGAACAGACAGTTAAGGCACAGTCCAGGTCATCAGGCTGTTTTCCAATGAATTCCATTCCTGGTGGTAGCTGTTGCTATCCTCATAATACGGTCTGTTGCCAGTAGAAATATAGAGGTGACCAAAAAAAAAAGGCATTTCCCTTACACACACCTGCTCTGATGTCTATTTCTACAAAACTCTAAAATGATGCTGTTAGTCATTTGTCGAGGTTCCAGCTTCATTGCAGGTGTACCCCATGGCTTCACTGCAGACAGGTGTACCCCATGGCTTTACTGCAGATAGGTGTGCCCCATGGCTTCACTGCAGACAGGTGTCCTCCATGGCTTCACTGCAGACAGGTGTGCCCCATGGCTTCACTGCAGACAGGTGTACCTCATGGCTTTACTGCAGATAGGTGTGCCCCATGGCTTCACTGCAGACAGGTGTCCTCCATGGCTTCACTGCAGACAGGTGTGCCCCATGGCTTCACTGCAGACAGGTGTACCTCATGGCTTCACTGCAGACAAGTGTGCCCCATGGCTTCACTGCAGACAGGTGTACCCCATGGCTTCACTGCAGACAGGTGTACCCCATGGCTTCACTGCAGACAGGTGTACCCCATGGCTTCACTGCAGACAGGTGTACCCCATGGCTTCACTGCAGACAGGTGTACCCCATGGCTTCACTGCAGACAGGTGTACCCCATGGCTTCATTGCAGACAGGTGTACCCCATGGCTTCACTGCAGACAGGTGTACCCCATGGCTTCACTGCAGACAAGTGTACCCCATGGCTTCACTGCAGACAGGTGTACCCCATGGCTTCACTGCAGACAAGTGTACCCCATGGCTTCACTGCAGACAGGTGTACTCCATGGCTTCATTGCAGACAGGTGTACCCCATGGCTTCATTGCAGACAGGTGTACCCCATGGCTTCACTGCAGATAGGTCTACCCCAGAGCTTCACTGTTGTTGCTGCATTCCTTTGCCAGTGGCAATCACACAAAATGTCCATCAATGTCCTGTTTGAAAACTATTAAAAAATATGTCAGTCTCAGCAAAATCTTGAAGCTCGCACACACACAAAAGTAAATGCATAAACACTAACAGTCTCACATTAGAATCACAGCTCTCTGCTGATACAGTCAGTTACAAAAACCAGAATTGTACACACAATACTGCATAAGTACACACCATTCCAAATGTAATCTTCCACCCACCGTTTTTATTGCAGTCAGTTTGCAACACAAAGCCATTATAGGCACAGCAGAAGAAAAAACCCATTCCACATGAAATCCACAGCTCACTGTATCACACCAAGTGTTCAACTCAGTAGCTGGGTGTCAAAACCCTGGCTAGAAAAAAAAAATTTCAGAGCATCATTGGTAAGCTGGCAGTGTGCCATATTGGACCGGAAGTTCAGTAACCAGTCCACTGTTACCTTATAAAAGAATTAATTGGCTTTCTACAACCAAGACTAATTCTGATCTTGTAGCTCAGCTAAGATTCTTAGCTAAACAAATCTTTTTGCTGTCAGTGGATTAAAAACATTTCATAATATTTATTTGATCCCTCTTACTGGGTTTATGAAAACTTGTAACGATAACTTGATGTTTAATTCACAGTGGACTTGTATTCATGACATCCAGCAGATGGGGACAGGAAACAGAGTGGATGTCTTCAAGGAGAGGGACCACCAGGTTGGTGATTCTGGGAGGAAACATTCTGCCAGAAACAGCATCGATGTTGAACCACACATTTTGTTGCAGTCTGACAGCAGAGAAACAAATAGTGTCTTTTCACCATCCAGTCATTTGCCATCAAATAGCTTGATTGAGGAACCCATTTTTTTGGATTTAGGTATTCATTCGACCCCGCTGAATGACACTTCGGATGATGATAGTGATAGTGATGAATCAGACTTGGACGCATTTGACAGTGCAGGTAGTCATGACACTGTCTCGTCTGAGGTTCAGTCGCCACATAATGGATATGACTTTTTTTCATCTGATTCATCCAGTGAAGATTTACCAGATGTCTCACTTCCTAGTTCTGGTCATTCACCTCAAAGAGGTAATGAATATTCCCTAATCAATACTTCACTGCTGGATAGGGAAGTTGAGGCAGGAAGTAACTCACCGCTATCGTTTGAGGCAGTACCATCGGCACCTGACAGACCTTCATCCTCAACTGATCAGCATAATGGAACCTCTCACACGTCAAGTTCAAATAATGCTCAACTTGGTGGAGGAGGTGACAGAATCAGTGATGCTCATGCCCCTAGAGGAGTGGTATTCTACGAAGCAGCGACTACACCCATAGGAGGCAGAGTACGGCGTCGAATGGCCGCCCGACATACAGACAGTGTCGCAAGCCAGACTGCTCTCAGAATCAGAAATGTTCAACCCAGACTTATCTTTTATTCTCAAGAGCCGAACGTTGGACGCGGTTTCATCAAAGAACAAAGTTTTAGCTCAGATGGTAGAGTCATTGCGTCTCCTTTTGGTAACTGTGTTAGATTGTTAGCGTTTAATAGTCAGTGTTCGGAACTTTGTGACTGTGTTCCCATGAGACCAAGAGCTTTGGCTCAAGTGGGATTAACAGTGAACCAGAAGAGCAGTGTATTGGCCAGCACATTCTCCCCACACCACTGCATGTTTGTTGCTGGTGCTCGGGACGGTAGTATCTCATTCTGCTCACCGAAGTTGTAACGTTGTACATGTTTTTATAATTCACATTTCAGTGTATATATGTGTATATTAAATAAGACAGTAGCTTTTTATGCATTCCTCGAGACAGATGAAAACTGATTAGAGAAATTAGACTTGGTCCCAACAGATTCCATATTCCAGTTTTCATCTTCTCATGACAATACAAGAATCTTATGCAGATAATTAGCTATCTTCATGAGCTGTTTACTCTCAAGACATCTTTGCTACATTTAGAATTGACCTTTTACAAGTTTAAATGTGCACATACATGTATATCACAGAAAATGTATGGTTATGAAGTGTCGGGAATTTATGTTAGGACAAGGTATGTTGGAGATTCATGTTAGAACAGGTTATGTTGGAGAGACAAGTTAGGATGGGGCATGTTGGGTCAGCAACCACCAGGACACACATAGTTTAATTCATTTTACCAATTATTTGTGTCAAGGGTCTTCTGAATGAGTGCCCAGAATTATAATTGCTTGCACAGCTGCTTCTCACTAAGTGAATTAAAGCAGTATACATTTGTTATTGATTGTATGGAAAATAGTTGTCTTCCTTGAGAAATTTGACACTGTTGATAATTATGTTCCTGTGTAAAATGCAGAAATGGCTAAGAAGGGCTGCCGGACTGACCAGAAGAGAGGAAATCAGAAATGAGGTCATAAGAGAAAAAGTCGACACAGAACTAATAAATTACACTCAAAGACAGCAAAAAAAATAGTTTGCCTGTTTAGATGCATACCTTACAAGGCATACACCAAAACTGGAGAAGGACATGGAACATATGGTACATCAAGAACAAGATGGAAAAATAACATCAGAGAAACTCTACAGTGTCTCTTTGGTCAAGGCGCCCAGAAAAGCAAGAAGCAGAACCTTATATCTCTCTCGACACCCAAAGTGGTAAAAGAAGGAATGAAGAAGAAGTAAAATACTACATAATTATATTTCTTACTGTTGGTTGTGTGACCAGTGAAAGAGTAGAGAAGTCAGCCGATTTGTGTAGTATCTTTCCTTTGTTACAATGTGCTGATGTAATGCTGGGACCATGTATTCTTCAAATACAGTTTTAATCTTTTATTGCCTTGAAAAGCAAAAGTACTGCTGCCATTTGCTTTGTTTCTTTCAGAACTGAATGCGTAATTTGTTTGTTTAAAAGGGTTGTCACTGAATTTCCTTATTTGTTATTCTGAGTTCAGGTATGACAACAGTTTTCTCAGTGGTCGGTCTGTGGAGGCTCAGGTGGCTGGGCTACACCTGAAGAATGGAGTGTTGTAGAGTACCTAAGAACTTGCTCAATGGCGCAAGGCTTGTAGCAGGGATCGAACCTGGCACTCCGATCCCACGTTCACAATGCCTAAGCCACAGACACAAACCATCTAATTTCAGGCAACATTTCCCTGTTTTTAATTTGAACCAAAAAAAAAGACAGTATATCCCAGGCAATAAAATTGTGCAATCTATTGTTTGTATTGTTGTTCAAATTCATCTAATCTGTCTGCTCAGCTCCAGACTTATATTAGCTGTATGTCTCTCAAGACACTGTTAGTGCGCACAGACTGACTGACTATGGTTATCACTTACAGTACTCTTCATCTAGGATCCAGGGCCCCATTTAGGAGTGGTGGTGGGGGGGGGGGGGGGGGGCAAAATAGACCCACTGCCTTCTAACAAGCATGTTGTTAAATTCAACATTAAGAGTTTGCTGAAATCAAATGCGTAGTGTCAAAACAGCTCATATGTTACAGCCTAGTTATAAACTGAAACATAACATGCCAGCCGTCCTTTTTTAGGGCAAACACAGAAAAATAATGCAAAAAAAAGGAGAGACAAAACACACCCCAAAAACAAAACTCGGTACACTAGTTACAAATACAAGAACAAACAAGGTGGAATTTGACAGAGATTACTGGAAACTATTAAGAAAGTAAATTTGATTCACTACACTCAGAGAAAAGGCGAGACGGAACTATAACCAAATTGTGACCATCAGTATTGGAACTCTGCGCTGGCTGCTGAAGATGAGAACGGAGCACGCATGCTGTGATGTCAATTCTTGACTTAACTAACTAACTAACTATTAAGACAGTTGACAAACTCCTTAAAAAATAGTTTATTTATTTTTTTTTTCATAACATGCTCACAAAAAATGTCTTCATTGTCTACATATAATTTCTTCAATCCATACACAATTTTTTTTTACCTGCTTCTGGAAGGTCTGGTTCATTTTTCATTTTGTTAGTAAAAGGTCATTTTCATGCCATTGGTGCATTGATTTTCCTGTACCTACCATGGCCCTGTCAGCAAGCCAATCCGCTCGTTCATTCCCCCTTACCCCAGAGTGCTCTGGCACAAAGTAAAACTAATTCCTTCCAGACAAGATTTCCTCAGCGACTCCAACCATTTCCCTCGAATCCATTCTGTCTCTATCTTCTTAAGCATGCTTATGGAATCATAAATCATGCATGGAAAAACTGCTGTCTCTAGCCACATCATTGCTTTTGATGCCTCCATCACCTCTATAGTCAAACTACTTGAAGTTGAGGCAAAAGCCCCGCTTTCTTCTTTTACAGTTTTCCCTTAAACTAGAACTTGGAAAGCCCATGAACTTTGTACATGTCGAATGACGGATCTGTCAGTATAGATAATTGCACCTCTATCAGTAGAATTTTCAAGGATTAAGGCTTCCGCCTCAACCACCAAGAGGCCTTGTTTGTAATTTCTACCCAGTTTTATGCAGACTGAAAATTATTTACCCAACTCTGCTGGCACTCGTTTCCATTCCTCAGCAGGTTCTATGTCCTTAATTGAACAAACTTGCAACTCAGCACAAATATCACATTTCTGTAAAGTGTATAATGCAGAGGAAGTAATCAATTCAACATTTAGCACATTAGTTCGGACAACACATCACGCCCAGACCCCTAAGGACAGCAGAGTTATCACGCCCAGACCCCTGTCTTGCTAGACAATACAACCATAGCTGCTTTCCACTTATAAAGTCATGGAATAATGCGGTTAAGTCACCATTTCTGTTTCTTTAGTGTAGAAAAACTGATTAATTATAGGGTGCCCTTGTGAAGCTGGGCTCATCTCTGACCCATATAGGTTGACAAAAATACCATCATTAAGCTACTGAGACTCACTTCAATATGAGTAATGAAAAATACATAATGTCTTGGACATATAAGTAATATACAACATAATATAACTCAGTGATCTATATTTGTATCAATGGAGTAACAGAAATAAGCTGCTAAAGATTATGAACAGTAAATTATCTATATACAACATGGGGTATTCTCTAACAATGGTCATGTGAAGCAGAAGAAGAACAATTCACGTGCACACAACCATGCATGCACAACATCTCATAGATTTCTCCATGTGGATTAATGGGGCCCACTGTGGGAAGAATAGATCTACTGCCTCTCCAACAAGCATGTCTTAAAAGTCGACAAGAGGTTTCCTTCAAAGTCAGCGTGCATTTACCTGAAACACTATAAAAGAACAGTTTGCCTTCAAATAAGCCAAATCTGTCAAATGGATTTGCACACAAAACTAAAGTTCAGAAACAAGACTCAAGTCCAGAACATTCTGCTGGAGTTTACAAACCGGGGAATGTAAAGAAGCATATCTGAAGGGTATTGAAAAAAAGACCTTATCACGCCAGTGGCATATTAGACATATGATGCTAGTTTATATTTCTGTAGACCCATCGGCACTAAGTAGGTGATGTGATCAACATCATACTGGCTACCCTTACTGCCCAGGAAATTACCCAGTACCCATTCAAGACTGGGTAAACCTGGGTAGCAAGGTCAGTTTTTTTGGGGGAAAAAATCTGCCTCAACGCGAATTCAAACCTAAGCCCTTCAGGCCAGTAGGAGAGCTTCCAAAACATCCCACAGTGGAAGACAATGTTTGTTCATTAAATGATAATGATGACCAGTCTAGTCATTAATTAATTTTAGAGCATGATTTATGGGTGTATAGAGATTGTTAATAATGCTGTTTTGGCATGGAAGATTCTTGGGCCGTGTCGGTAGGGATTTTGAGCTATATCAGTTGGGGAGATGCAGTTCTGTATTTTCTGGCTTATCTTTGTTGAACTTCCTTTTGCATTTCTGACAAACTGCTGCTGCACTTCTGACTGCCTCACAGACCACTACTTTCCAATGAAAAGATGAATGTCATAAGGAACAGGTGTGTGCAGTGACTTCCAATGTGTCAGGTTGCTAAACACATTTAGAAAGATCCTGAGATTGTTCTTGATTCCCCCCCCCCCCCCCCCCCCCCCCCCCCCCAGCTTTAGGAGTGTTTTTCTTCTGAAAGAAAAAAGACACACAGTCAACATATCTCTCAGTTCACCAGCAAGAAAAACACGCTACCATCAATCACCTAAGTGGCCTCTGCTGCAGAGTACACAGACATCTATACTGTTTTGAAATCACCTCTACAAGACAACGTTTTTGTCTTGAACGGAGATCCTTGAAAATGATTTGCTGACAGATATGGCTAGAAAGTTTTGTGCTGTAGAGAAGAAATAAAGCCTCCATTTTTGCCTGGACAAAATGATTTATCCTGGCAACAAGACTATAGATAGAACATGTAGAAGGACCAAATGCACATGAAAAAAATGAGAAAGAGAAAGAGAGCTGTCCATATTTAACATTACTAGATTAAAATTAAACTATAAGGAATTGAAACTCACTGGTTGTTTAAAAAAAAAAGGTAAATCAGAAACCTATCAGAACACACAATAGCTTGTTTACACATTTTGAGAAACAAGTTTATCTTGGTCACTGTCCGGAAAGTGACACCCTTACTGAGAGTGCAGCACAGATGATGAACTTTGTATCTGTAGTGACGACTCCAGCGATCACCAGAACATTTTTGTGTGTGAACTGAATAACAGTATAAAAATGAACTCACACATTTAGAGTGTGAGGCAAATGACTATCTTTATGACATTCAAACAAAGGATTGAAGACAAT